GAAGCTGAATGCAGCCTCTCACAACGCAGGCTGATATACTGATACATATGGGTTTCTAGAATACTCACCTAAGTGGAAGAAGCCTGTACTACAAGGGCCCCACCCTCCAGAAGATAATTCTGTTTTGGGGAGTTCCCACCTTGTATATAGGTAGAATATCCAGCATGCGTTGACCTCTGGAGGATACCTGATACACGGTAAGTAGTAAAGAAATATTAGCTAATGTGCAGTATAACCTAACTGTGCAGTAGTGGAAACAGACTGTCAGTCATCACCCTAATCTGGAGTTAATCTTTGCATCGCTAATTGTAAGACATTCAGATATCCTGTGTCTTCTAATATGATACATTACCTAGGGTGAACTTTATAGTCAAAAATATTTAACTGGTCTCCATTAAGCTGAAGCTTGTAGAGCCAACTTCCATTTTCCAGAAACAGATTGCATTTTGCCGTGTATTAATGTGCACTTTTTTTGCCCAATTTTTTGAGGGAAAAATAAGAATGTACATTATACATGGGTAGTACTAGTTCCATATCTATCAAAATGTTTTTAATTCTTTTATTTTTGATTATATATTAAAAGTATAACTCTAGAAAGCAGTAATCATGTCCATATGCAAAAGAATACCCTGGAGTATGATAATCGTTTTGTTTCTAAATATAAATAAGCAAAAAACTGAATTAAAAAATTAAAATGAAAGACTTTTTTTCCTTAAAGATTGGGGCAAAAACATGGGTGCGCATTATACACAGCAAAATACAGTAATTAAATACAGCTAAGTGACACCATAAGGAAGCAATGAAATTAATACAGATAGAATATTTTTCTGGAAAACTGCCCATCAACAAGTTAGAACCACAAAAAAAGAAACTGTTCTGAAATAAAAGAGACTTCACAGAAACAACCAGATGCAGTAAGTGGCCCTAGATTGGATCTAGGTTCATTAAAGAACAATTTGGGGAAGTTTTAATATGAATTGGGTATTAGATAGTATTAAAGAATTATTAACTTTAAGTGTTATGTTATTTTGTCTATGTTATTTTTTAACACTGCATCCTCAAGTAAAAAAATACATACATATATAATTTTTTTAAAAAAAGAAACACTGTTTGCATGAATGAATGAATGAAGAGAAAGTCTGGGCTAGAGATACTAGGTTTGTTAGTCAATAGCATGAATAGTAATTTAAAAATCCATAAGAATAGATGAGATTTCCTAGGAGAGTGTGTAAGGCAAGACAAAGAGATGTGAACCAAAGAGACTAACGCCATTTCCAAGACTAGATATAGAACCATCACGCTGAAAAAGAGCAGCTAGAGAAGAAGCCCATGAGGAAAATGGTACTCCACAGGCCACCAGGAGGAGTTTCGAGAGGGATTAAAGGCATCGATAATGTCAAATCCTAGAGAGAGATCAAGCTGGATGAAGACTGGAAACAAGGGTCTAACAAATAACAAGCAGAAGGTCAGTGATGGCCTGACTGAGAGGAGTTTCAGTAGGGTGACAGGAGCAGAAGTCAGAGGAGTGAAGTGCAGTTGAAGAAGTGGAGACATCGCTCCCTTTCTGGAGTTTCTCAGAAAGATGAGAACCTGTACAAATAATACACATTGTTCAGATAATTAAATTCCTAGTGATTGGTACTAACATGCAGTAACAAATAAGTGGAAGACAGAATAATATTAAGAATAAGGGAGAGAAGTTGATTGCAGAGTTGTAAAATAAAACATTCCTCTTACATTCCTCACATAATGCATACATAAAATAAGTATCTGTCGTTACATGTACAATAGTCTGTAAATTCAGTATAACTAGAGTTTGGCTTTTTTTCTACATGGCTCCTAAAGAAAGGTGACATGGCAATCGCATATACAGAAGTGTTTCACTGTATAAAATGTATTGGTTCCCTTAAAAATTGGAAGTAAATTTTTGTAAATCAAATGATTAAGTGAATCAAAAGTATTTATTACCTAACCTAATTAACCCATAGGCTGCAATTTGATTTCATTCAGGTCACATTTTTATAAATAATATTAATAATAAGTGACAGTATTTTGCTTTTATAAGATATATCCCTTGATCCCTATTCTAATCTCGTAAGATAGGCAGGATAGGTATTATTAGCCCTATTTGTCCCCCAAATTTTCTTCTGCTACAAGGGAACTCTGGAAACATGTGTGATTTTCCTTGGAGGGATACTGTGTATCCAGAAAAGCTGTGGAACAGCCCCCAAGCTGTTGAGCTGTTTATTTTTTATTTTGTTTATTTTTTAAAAATATATTTCATTTATTTTTAGAGAGAGGAGAAGGGAAGCAGGACCAGAGGGAGAGATACATCAATGTGTGGTTGCGTCTCAAGTGCCCTTCCCTGGGGGACCCAGCCGGCAACCCAGGCATGTGCCCTACACTGGGAATTGAACCAGAGACCCTTCGGTTTGCAGGCCGGTGCTCAGTCTACTGAGCCACACCAGCCAGGGCTGTTTAGCTTTTAAAATACATTTAAGAACCTTGGTCTATCCACATTCTTAAGCTCAGCCCAAATCTCTTACCAGTCCTTAAAAAAAGAACAGGAACTTTTAAAAAATCAGTATATTCATAGAATAAAACTGTATTTTTTGTCCTTTGTTAAATGACTGTGTAAAATATTTATATTTTCTATAAAACACTTACTTTTTAAAACTAAAGTCAGCTGATTTTCATTTGATATAATTGCCATGTCAGCTGACTTTAAAGAAAAAAATTTACTCTAACCATAATACAAGAAATATTACATTAATTTTTTTTATAATAATAGTTACTCCATATTATCTGTAATTTATAAAAAGTTCAGACTGTTGAGTACTGGGAGTTTTCTTAAAATGGGTCAGACCTATGCTACACTACATAAATAATAATAGCTAATAGTTTTTGAGTACTTTCTATGCTGAATACCCTAAGGATTACTGCATTTAATAGTCTCGGTGACAAAACCTGTAAACACTGTTTATCACCATTTTCATTTTACATATGAGAAAACATTAAATTTTGCTATATCCAAATGCATAATTGTAGATTTTAGACATGCTATCTCACAACATGCTGAATTTTAATCATATTCCAAAACAAAAATAATCAAAATCAAGGTTAAAAATGTGGTTTGACAACAAACAAAATTCAAACAGACTCATAGATAAAACGAATAGACTCATGGTTGCTGAGGGAAGGGAGGCTAGGGGACTGGGTGAAAGAGGTGAAGGGATTAAGAAGGACAAAGTGGTAGTTACAAAATAGTCATGGGACATATAATACAGCATAGGGAATATAGTAAATAATATTGTAATAACTGTATATGGTGTCAGGTGAGTACTGGAAACACGGGAGGCAGTTGGAACACTTTAGGTACATGATTTCTAACTACCATGCTGTACTCCTGAAACTAATACAAAAGAATATGGAATGTAAACTGTAATTTAAAAATAAAATTAAAAAATAAATAAAATACCAAAACAGAAAAATATGATTTGAGAGCTATACTAAATCCCTAGAAAAGGTCGAGATGGTATGGGAAAATAAAATAAACACTAGTTTCACAACAATGTGAATATACATATGTATTTTCTATTATAAATCTTTACCCTAGGATATGTTTATTGATTTTAGAGAGAGGAGGAGGGGAGGGAGAGGGAGAAGGGGAGGGAGGGGGGAAGAGAGAGAGAGAGAAAGAGAAAGAAAGAGAGAGAGAGAGAGAGAGAGAGAGAGAGATCAATCTGTTGCCTTTGATATGTGCCCCCACTGGGAATCAAACCTACAACATTTTGGTGTACTGGATGAGACTCCAACCAGCTGAGCAACCTGATCAGGGCACAATGTACATATATTTAACAATATTGAAGGGTACACTTAAATATGATTAAGATGGTAAATTTTATGTGTTTTATTATCACAATTAAAAAAAACCCAACCATAGCTTTGTTAGAAAAGTTATTAAAAAGATTCCCTACTGTCATATTTCTCACAATAGCCATTCCTTGCTTATTCACAGTAAAGTACAGTCATCCCCTGGTATTCATGTGGGATTGGTTCCAGAACCCTTCTGGATAGCAAAATCCATGGATACTCAAGTCCCTTATATAAAGTTTTGTAGTATTTGCATATAATCTGTATTTGCATATAGTCTACAACAGGGTATGCCTACACATCACTTCATTCGTGTGGATTTGGTATAGTGCTCAGAGGGCGGCTAATCTAAGTTTTTCTCCTTGGAACTTCCTGGGATTTCCTCACCCTCAAATATTTTCAATCTGAGGTTGAGTTTCTCACCTGTCGATATGGAGGGCTGACTGTATAATATTATTCTTTCTACTATTAAGGCATGGAGATTTTTTTAATAGTTTGAGTTAAAAACCTATAGGTGTTTACAGAAGTAACCAATTGTAAGAAGACACAAATAATAGTACAATACTTTAATTGCATTCCTATGCCTTAACATAAATTCTCCAAATTCTGTATAATGATGATGTAACTTTATAACCTGAAAAAAGTTTTTAAATTGAGATTGACATTAAATATAGTAACTGTGGCAATGAGAAAAGATCTGAAGCTGGGGTTTCATGTCTGAGAACTACTCAACGTACATTACTTTACACCTCTGGATTTCTAAAGTTTTTAGCTCCTTGATGTCCAAAGACCCTCTGGAAAGAAAAGTGAATGCTTGGGGACCCTACAAAGGTTATGAGAAATTAGTAGAAATATGCTGAGACATGTGCATTTGCAAAGACTCTTTGCAACAACCTCTGATAGCTCAGAACAATTACTAAGGATGCTGTTGTTGAATCTCATCTTCACTGGAAGAGACATTCTAATTATTTACATAATCCAAAACAAATCTTAAATTATATAATTGTACATGTAGACAATACATATAAATGACTATACTGAATTTACCTTCAGGATGTTTAAAAATACTTTAAAAACAAAAACTCATGTTACTTATATTGTAGTTAATTTTTAAATAGTCTTCTCACCTTCGGGGCCTAGTCCTTGGGGACATCATTTCATTCCCAAGTATGTGGTACCGTCTTGCTTCATGCAACAATTGATAACACTCAGGAGAATTTTGGATCAATTGGTCCACCTCAACTGTTTGAACGAAGTAGTTGGGATGCAATAGAGGGAGTCTCACATGTGTCAGGAGCTCATGTAACAGTGGTCTTCTCAGATCAACAGCATGATAGACCCAACGCATTACAGCCTCAAAAACCATCTCTTCTTTACTAATAGCAAGTTCATCACTACAAATATAATCAATAAGTTCATCTTTGTCAAGCTCAAGAAATTCTTCATGTTGGGACACATCCTCAAAAGTCTGTAATGCAAAATTCTTGCACTTTGTGAAGAGTGTTTTGAGTGAATGGGTATCAGCAAAACGCTGGATTCCTAAGCAATTACAAGGATCAAGTTGCTCCTCCAAGAACTTGGCACATGCATCACGGAGAACACTGATCTGAAAGAGGCTTGATGTTTCAAACAGATACTGTACATTCTCTGTAGTGATCTTTACTTTTCCAGTATAAACATACTGCAAAAAACATTCCATAGCTTCAGCTAAAATACCGTTGATTTCAACCAACATTTCTCGGCTTTCCCTGTGGTCATTACAAAACATAGCTCTGAAGTAGCTACTACAGGCTGAGAGAACAGCTCTATGGCAAGGAAATTCTCTTCCTTCCACACAAATGATAACATCTGTGAATAAGCGGCTATCTCGGAATTCATTAAATATTTGGAGAATATTTTCAGCATGGGATGATCCTGAAGAGAAGTCAAAAAACTCATGGCCTGTCAGAGATTTCGGGTCCATTTCAAAAACTTTACGCTTAGTTGCTGGGGAATCACGCACCCCGAGATCCTCTCTGTTTAGTCTTCGCCCCAATATTAGGACCATTGTTACATCAGTTGACTATATAATTGCTGAGAAATGACTGTTAGGGATCTTATTTATGTGACTAAAAGTAAACAAAAAAGAAAAAAGAGAAAAAGAAAGTGAAAACATTTCAATGAGTAATAAATTCAGAATAAAAATTGCTTTTGCACAAAGGGATAATTTGCAATGGTATTCCTTAAGCCCCTCAGCTGAAAGGATACAATGAATTACTAATAATCTCCTGTCTCTCCTTTTTCACAGCTGGTTTTATCCACTGACTGTAGAGGTAAGTCAGAATACTGTAAGACAATTTGATTACATTCAGAATCCTAATATGTTTTTATTGTTAATATAGTGATGCTAGAGAGGAATTCAGTTACCATATATCTATCAGTGGCCTTTAAAAATATGTATATTGTTTGACCAGCAAGTCCCTTTCTAGAAATTCTAAGGAAATAATCAGGCTACGTAGAAAGATTTATCTACAGAGATGCTCAATGATGTTTTAACAAAAAAGAGTTAAAACCACCTAAATGCCCTATAAGAGGAGATCAGTTAAACCACAGTACATCTTAAGGATGGAACACAGTCTATGCAGCCATTAAAAATCATGTAAACTATTTAATGACATGGGGAAGAATTAATCGTAGTAAGCAAAAAACAGATCATAAAACATATGCTAAGGAAAAATTTATGTATCAGTGCATCTAGGGATAGGAAAAAGGAGGCACATATGCCAAAGTATTTAATGATTTACTTATGTTGTTTTTCTCTATTTTCTCCTAAATTCCCACTCTAAATATGTAGTAATTTGTTTTTAAACCTCCCTTAGAAGTAGCTATGAATAGGTAACTAGTGGACTGAGGTACTGGGCAATAGCTATCAATTCTCTTAACTTTTGATTTTTAAGGGGTATTCTACTTGCTTTTCTACATCTCTTTAAGTTGATATATGATCCAAAATGTATTTGTAATTGGCTTAAGAGCACTCACAGTAACTTTCATTTATTCCCATGCCCTCAGAATCTCATACAGGTCTAATTATGGTAGCATGAAGAAGGCTTAACATTATGGAAAACAGTACAGAAGCTCCTCAAAAAATTAAAAATAGAACTATCCCATGACCCAGTATTTCCACTTCTGGGTATTTATCTGAAGAAATCCAAAATACTAACTTGAAAAGACAGATGCACCCCTATGTTCACTGCAGCATTACTTACAATAGAATCCCCTTTTTGGATAAAAGGGACAAGTTTACTTACATACATGAAGAGATACTCTTTGTTCTGTATTCAAAAATCTTACATATCTGGTATTTGTTATCTGGTATCTTGCAGTACCTCATAAATTTGGGGGTAGCATATTGAGTGAGTTAAGTATTAATGTACGGCTGACTAAAACTTGTGTTCTCTTTCTTGGGGGGAGCATGTCCACGCCTTTCCCTTTTCCTTCTTCTTCCCCAACTGGCATCCATCTCCTAGAGCCTAGGGGATCCCACTGAGACTTGTAACCAGGGGAGCAGCAGGCAGCAGCAGCTTGTCTAGGCTAACCGTCTGAACCGGTCTGCAAGGCCCCTTTTTCTCTGACTCTACAGTGAGCTGAGAGCAGCCCCGCCTTGGCTCGTTTCTTTTCTATGACAACGCAGCCTTGCCTAGGCTCTCTCTTGTGGCTTCTTCTGTCCTAAGCCATTTCTTGTTTCACTGTCTCCAACTTTAATAAATGTACTAAACCCCCCTGGCCCCCCAAAACAAGACCCTTATTTTCATTGCTGGTTCCTTAATTATTGACCTACAAGAGGTCTCCCACTTCTTTCACCCAATGTACAACTGAGAATCCTGGATTAGAACACCTATAAAATCACCTGCTATTATAAAGTATTTAACAGCAACAAGATACTTGTTTACTGCTTTGTTTGTAAGAGAAACTGTCTCAGATCTGGGCTGTTTCCTTCCAAGCAGATTTGGCTTGGTTTTTTGGACATCCTCACTTTCTCAGGACTTTCTGAGAACTCTCCTATTAACTAGTCTCCACAAAGCATGAAATATTTAATATTGGGTTGGCCAAAAATTTCATTTGTTTTTTTCCATAAGGTGGCTCTAGTAGTGCTTAGTTGTCTTTAACTTCATTAGAAACAATTTTGTTGGACTGTATTGTGACAGCTGTCATATCAGCGTGCATAAAAAAACCCAAACTTATCAAAATTGGTGAATTTTTGTGTAGCCATTTTAATATTGAAGATGGAAGAGAATAAGCAACATTTTCAGCATATTATGCTTTAAGGTAAAAATGCAACTGAAATTCAAAGAAAGATTTGTGCAGTGTGTGGAGAAGGTGCTGTGACTGATCAAACATGTTAAAAGTGGTTTGTGAAGTTTTGTGCTGGAGATTTCTTGCTGGACAGTGCTCCACGGTCAGGTAGACCACTTGAAGTTAATAGCAATCAAATCAAGACATTGAGAACAATCAATGGTATACCATGCAAGAGATGGCTGACATATGCAAAATATCCCAATCAATAAAGTTATTGGTGAAATATGAAAAATGTGCCTTTTGTTTAACAAAAAAAAAACCCAAAAACTAAATGAACTTTCAAGCCAACCCCCTATAAACTGTTCCTATTGATGATGGGCTAGGTAAATGATTTGCACAGGAGGGTCTTAAAAATAGGAGACACATTTTAAAGTTTCTCTTTTGGGCTTTCCGATGTAATTGACTAGTCTTTGTGTTCCCATTTTATAAAATCAAGTATTTTAATTACTAATGGAAAAAGTCAGCAACTAAGTAGGCATTTCTGGACAAAAGAAAGAGGAAAATGTTCCAAGGAAATATAATTACTGAAAGTTCTATCTCGGTAAGTTAGTGGATGCAAGGGTGATCAGACTGTCATGTCAATGACTGGCTGCCAAAGTCACAAGATTTGTCTAGAAAAGCAAGTAACTCTTTTTGTCCCTCATTTCTTCAGGAGCTTTATTTCTGGAGCTACACTATCACTTGAAAGGAAGACTTTTCTTAACAGAATTCATAAATGTTGTTAGACATCGTTTCTGATTGTTAAGTGGATTTAAAATGACATGTTTTTGATTTACGTCCCAGAAGAATGAATTGAGATAACTTACCCTAATGTCTCCCAGACTGGAGGGAAATGTTGAAGGGGGACTGAGACTCCCAGGAAGGAGCAGAAAGGAGTGAGTCAATACTTTATTTGGTAACAGAAATGACAGTGACACTGCCTTCCCTTATGATCTTGAGGACAGAATTATTCCCTGTGACTCTCACTGACCTAAGTGACCCCTGGTTAAAGAGAGTAAAATGGTTTAAATTCTCAAATAACGAAGTTTAGATAGTTTATAAATATTATTAATATACCTTTTTTGCATTTGCTTGCTCAAAGCCCCAGTCAAAATATTCGTGTTGTTTTAATTTCCACACCTAAAATAAATGGAGAATAGCGACATGTAAATCAGATACAATTTACTTCATGTACAGTTGGCTGTATATTTTACTTCACGTATAGTTGACTGGAAATTTGCCTTTGCATAGGAAATCATTACTGAATAACAATTCCTTAAAGCAGATAATTTTATATTTTTACACACAAATTAGTTTAATTATTTATCAACTTATTTACTTGGCAATTATATCCTGCAGTAAGGTTTCTTGAGTGAAAGATGAGTAAATACTTACATCAGCAGCATGCTAATGGTAGCACTGAGATGAGAATAATATATATCCTGTGATAATTCTGCACTGGATATTTGAAGAATGTCTGGTAATTGACCTGTCTGAGTTTGGAGCCATTAAATAATTATGAAGTGGTCTATGAATATTACCAAAAGCAAACAGTTTAGTCACTATGTATTATATAACCTTGGAATCAGCTTCAGAAAATCTCAAGTATTCTGGGTAATTCAGAAAAAAAATTCATTTTTAATCCATCATTATGTAGATTATCCACACAGAATCTCCAAGCTTATCAAATAATTGTTTTTAATCTTTTAATATAGAAATACATTTTCTGCTTCGTTGAAATTTATATAGATGCAGTACCTATAGAAACCAACTAATTCAGTATAACTCCTTTTTTTTGATAGAAGGGAAGGAGAGTAATGCTTAACAGAAAATTCTAGCCCCTTGAACTGTGCACAGAATAACAATAGTATTTAAACACGAAAGGTTCTTCTTTCTGGCCCAGATATCTATAAACAGAACTCATAAATTCTTAAGTCCAACTTATGGACTACTGATTTTTTTCTACAGATATTTACAAACATACAGCTCTATACCCTGATTACATGATAATTGTGAGGTGAATGTTATCGCACATGTTTCTTTACTTGTAGAACTCAGTCTACCTTTTGCGTTCCTTTAATATTTCAACTTGGTCAAATTAGGGGATTGTTAATGCTAGCTTAGTGCTTCTTCCCAATGGACAATAACATTCTGAGCCAATACAGGGATTCAGGTCACTTCAAAAATATTTATAGGGAGCCTACTCTCTGGCACTGGGGTCACAAATACCAGATTCAGATCCAGTTTTAGACTCGGGTTGGCTGAAGTAAGGACCATACAAGAACTCTAAGACTTATACTAAAATTGACTCAAATTCTCAATGTTTTTCTATCAGAAAACACAGGTACTAACTGGAACAGATTCTCTCACAATTGATCTGGTCTAGAATTATACTTTAAACCAGTGATTCTCAACTGGTATGGCACAAAAATTTTTAAAATATGCAATAGCTGACTATTTAGTCAGGGGCACTGACCTCTTTTCCATTAGATTGTCAAATTAAAAAAATGACAACAGCCAACACAACAATAGCCATCTGATGTGAAGGAATCAAAATTATACCTTTTTTTCGGTCAGACAGGCAAAAAATATATTTTTTGGAGTGCCGCAGAATTTTAATAATTAGTTTATGTGTGCCTTAAGGAGGAAAAAGGCAAGGTAGTTCACTTGGGCATTTTCTGTGGGGTTTTTAACTAATACTTACCAACCTAATATGTAGTAAGGGCAAAAGACAGAGGAGGCCAGCATACAAAGTCCAAAGACGATATATGTAATCAGAATTAATCTAGAGTGTAGCTGAACTGCCACCAAGCTTATTTTTCCTTTAGAATGCAGAAATCTACACAAAGAAAGAAGTTACAATCAGCCTTAAAAATAGTATAGATTAATGAGGGGGCTTATAAAGACTAATAAATACCAGGAAACAAAGGAAACCAACATCTTGACTAACATGTCCCTACAATAAGCAGAAGTGAATTGCCACATTAGAAGCTCAACAAACTTCATTTTCTCTAATTTAACCTTGAGTGAGTAAACATAGCAGATATAACATCATTAAAGATACGCAGTAACTCAAAGGAAGAAAATAACTGCAACATAATACGAAATCCATTATTTTAAAATAACTAGAAAATTATATTTAACATGGTACTATATAAAACCAATTTTTTGTAAATTTCAGATATTTTCCCAAAGCTAATTTATTTATTTATACCATTATATTTAATGATCGCTTTTTTAAAATTATAAATTCATGCTTCTCAATGTAAAGCTTTACTCTTGGAGCAGTGGTTCTTGAACCAAGTTTTACAAATGTTAATATTTAAAGTCCAGTCTGCAAGCTGCTATTTTCAACATTGCTAATTTCTTAATAGAACCACCAAGAACATATTTACCCACTTAAGATATCAGAAACCAAATAGAGCCTGCAATTTCTTTGTCTAGAATTGTAGCAGCTAGTGAATATCCTTTGTTTACCAGAAACTCAAATAAATAGTCAATACATTATGACTTTTATTAATGAGAGGAAGAGAAATAAGAGGTACCTAATGATGAAAAATTTAGTAGGAGTTCTTAAACAATGTTAGACTGAGACAAATGGTTCTAAAACTCAAAAAGAATACTATCTTTCCCCAAATCACAGAATCGAAAACATTGAATACCTCCCCTCATTGTTTCTCTCCCTGGCCTTAAAACTTTTGGTTGCTAATATTCCCCAATGGAAGAAAAATAAATCATTAATCATCAGACATAATACCTGGTATTAAGCTGTCCTATTAAGTCTACTCATGCTTCTTACTAGACGTGACATGTAAACTTAACTTCATTGGTTTTATCCTGCTAACACGTTTCTTTTAGGTATTTAAGGCATTGCTTTATTTTAAAATCAAAAGATCTATAGGTATATGCTATAGTTATGCTGTCTGCTGGCAAAATTGTTCTTGGTTCTTTTATCAGAATTAGTTAAATTCTGCAAGGACACTGTTTTTGCTCTGCCATTGAACAACTTTAAGATCCAGTATTTTAGATGACTTCTCTATGTATAAAAGTGTTTGTAAGTCAAGTGGTTTTTATTTACCTTAGTGGTGACACAAATTATTCACAAAAATAAATTTTAGAAACCTCCAAATAAAGTCTAATTTTAACACAAATTTAGTAGACTTTTAAGATGTGCCAAAATCTGAAAAACTGTAGCCCTTATGTGAATTTAGGCATAGTGACAAACTCTTCAATTAAAATAAGTTAGTTTAGATATTATTTTTAATAGAATAGGGCCTTAAAAAGTATATACAAAAATAATTGCAGTTGCTTATTTAATAAATAGTATTTATTTTTCACAGGATTGACCTATGGATTTTAATGAAAGGACAAAAAACAAGGAAGTTAAAATAAAGTTTTTTGAAAAAACATGAAGGTTTTAGCAACCTGGACAAAAACCAAACAAGTCTAAATTAAAGCTGATAGCCCTTTTTTATTTTTATCCTCACCTAAGGACATGCTTATTGATTTTAGACCCAGGGGAAAGGAGAGAGAGAGAGGGACAGAATCATTACTGTGAGAAACATGGATCTGTTGCCCCTCTTACAGGCCCCTATCAGGGAGGAACCCAAACTGCAACCCAGGTAGGTGACCTGACCAGTAAGTACTCCCAGCCACACCTTTTGGTTTGCCAGACAGGATGCCCAACCAACTGAGCCACACCAGCCTGAGCCCTCATTTTTAAAATTGTTATTTATTTTTATTAAATTTATTGGGGTGATACTGGTTAATAGGGTCATATAGGTTTCAAGTGTATGTTTCTAAGATACATGATCTGTATGTTGCATGTGTCCTCACCGCCCAAAGTCAAATCACCTTCGGACACTATGTATATGGCTCCCTTTGCCTTTCACTCCCCTCTGCCCGGCTTCCCTCTCGTAACCACCGTACTACATTGTCTGTGCCTATGAATTTCAGTTTTATATCCTATATATGAGTGAAACCATACAGTTCTTGAAATCTAACTCAGAATACTATTTCTTCTTCCTGTGTAGAAACTAAGTCATGGGCTTTGTCTGGATAAGCAGCATTTTGAATGGTGGTTTTTTATCTGTTTGAAAGGTGTATATTTTGTAGGTATTTAGATAGGTTAAAAGCCCTGAATCACAGGTGAGGAGGGAATTTGGGATCACAGAAGCTGCTCCTTCGGGTGTAGTCACCCCCACCTCAATTTAAAAAAAAATATTAAAATGCATAACCATTGAAAACTGTTCATATTCAGTTCCTGCTTCACCCAGGCGGCTCAATCAACCTCTTACAGATATGCATTGTTTTGGGTCAATTCTTACAGATTTACAGGAAAAGAAAACCTGATAATACCCAAGCACTCTATCTCCACGATCTCCTCATGAGATCAGGAAAACTGCATCTTCAACACACTCGTGGCTAAAATGTTTGTTTTTATGGATTTTATTTCAGTCATATTGCCTTACCATTTTAAAACAAGGTATTTGCAATTCGCTGTCACAAAGTTTCAATTTTCAAGGGGATTAGCACATTAAAGAGGTATAATCTCCCAAAGAAAACAATTCACCTAAACCGAGGTACTGAAGAATCTTTTAACTTTCAGAAGTATATCCTCAAAGGATATCTGATTTTTTCCTATACCCTGGTCAACAGTAGGCAGATTTTAAATCTTATTTTATGTACCTGATTAAAACCAACCTCAGCTGGAGGACCTAAAAAGTCTGTAGTTGCAAATATTTACGACGTGATTTTTAAAATGCTGCTTAAGGGTGCAAGAGATTAATCATTAAAATCCACTAAATTAGTTATTCATAGACACTGCCTCAAGGTGCGACCGACGCGCCCTAAAATGTGGCGTTATGGTCCTTACTTAACTATTTAAACCCTGTTTTTAGAACCGTTAAGAACAAATTCTCAAGAGGACTTCCCACCATTCTGGCAGGTAAGACGACGCCACTTAAACAGGGCTAATTTTGCGGCCCTTCAGGGAGGGCCGCGGCCGCGGTTCCCCGAGGACACAGAACTGCCCCAACGTTCTGGCAGAAGCCGCGCGGCTTCCTTGGGGGCGACGCGGGCGACCCGGACTCAAGCGAGGGTCCTTCCGCGCGGAGGCTCGCACCGCACACTCTGTTCGGGCCGCAGCTGCGAGCGAGTCAAGGGCGCGCGCCCTCGCGCGTCCTCCAGATCACCTTCAAGGGGGCGGGAAAGAACTGCCTGGGCGGGACCACCTAGCGACAAGACGGCCGCCAATAAACACACGAAACTCGCCCTGTGGTTCCCGCCCCTCAGGCTGGCGCACTCCAATCCCGGCCGCCTTAACTGTTTGCGCATGGAATGTGCAGAACTTGGGGGGGGAGGGGGCGGGGAAACCAGGAACTAAATTAAGAAGCCGAGTCCTGGAGTGATAGGAAGGTGGGGAGGGTAGGCGGAGACTCCGCCGGCGCAACGCCCGCAACCCCGCCCGCCGCGATTCCCCGGGGACGGTCCTCCAGGGCCGGGTTCCTTTCGCTGGCCCCGCCACAATCCGTGATAAACAAAGGCTCGCGGGGATTGCGGGCGGAGGGTAACGGTCAGGTGACAGTGCCGAGCACATTTCGCAACTGCTTTAATGGGGTTTCAGCGGCCCGTAGCCTGGGAACCCACCCGGACTCCGTCAGCGGTCCCCCGACAGACAACGGTCGCCTCCACCAAACGGGAAGGCTTTATCTGAGGCCTTCACATTCTCAGTGCTTCTTTCTGTTAAAAAAGAGCAGCGCCCCGTTCGGAGCCCATCGGCAACAAGCGGGACCCGTCTTCCCAGCCCCGTCCGCCAGCTGCTCCTGTCCTCCAGGTGACGGGGTGACCCGCACCTGCTACCCCCAACCCTGGCGGCCTTGCCCCTCCCAACCCGCCCCCCGCGGGGCGCGTCAGCAGCGCGGCGGTTCCGGGGCGGCAGTGTGAGGAGGCGGGGGTGCCCTCCCTTCAGGACTGTTGTTATCGAGCCGGGGCTGAAGACCCCCCAGGGAAGCCCTGCAGACCCCTCGCCCCAGACAGGGGCCCTGCAGCCCCAATCGCAATCTCTCCTCAGACACCCCTTGTCTGGCTCCGGGAGGCCGGCCGCCGCAGGCTTCCCTCTTGCAGACAACCCGTGGTTGTGACCTCGGTCGCCCCTCCGCCCCGATCCTGGCCGGTTCCTCGCCTTTCGGCCGGTTCCGGAGCTGTCATCCCCGGGTACCTCTCGGCGAAGGCTGGAAGCGGCCAGCAGTGGCTGCCCCGCGGTCCGTTAGCGGCTGGCGGTGCAGCTCTCCCTTTAGCCCCGGAGACTTCTCGAGCCACCAGTCTCAGCCGCAGCTCACAACAAAGGAAACATGTGACCGTCTGGGCCAAAACACTTAGCGTCACCTGCCCATGGCCAATCCGAGTGGGCTCCCCACCCTCGGGGTACCCTGGGAGATGTAGTTCCTATTCTGGGGGCGACCGCTGAGGCCATTAGGGTTTCCCGCTGTAGACCGAGGTCGGGTGCGAGAGTGACAAGACCCAGTCCAGGGACTGCAGATTCGGAAATTGTTTCAGTTAGAGACAGATTAAGGAATTGCATCAGTTTTAGGAGCCTAGTGAGAAACCTGAGCGGTATATTTATTGCCACGTCCAAGGCAAAAGGACATTTCCATGAAGTGACAGAATCTTGGAGTTTGGGACAAGCCTTAACGACCTTTTAGAACTGACCCTTCGATTCCCAACTGTGAAATCTGAGGGCCTGAGAGGTGAAAGGAACTAAAACCATCATTGCTACACAGCGCAGGGAAACCGTCTTTCTATGTAAATATGTTACTGCCACCTGTATTAAATCCTGGGTTACCTTTTTATTTTAGATGTACAAGCCAAGCCAAAATTGTTGCAAATCCCTATTTTCCAAGGTAGATAGATTCACTAAAGAACACTCTTCTGGATTTTTGTTTCCGCAGATTTTAATTTTTTTCAAGGATGGGTATATCTTCTGTCTTTCAAACATTTAACTAGTTTTTGGTTTTTGATGTCACAGTTGTAATTTCTCTCTTCTATTCTTTATGAATACAGTCATGCCGTTATTAAATAAGG